ATGATTGGGAACGAGTACACTGCACGACTCATTAAAAGCAGCGCCACTTTCTTCTATAACGCATCTAATTATTGCGACCTGTCGGAGACTGCTGGGCTGGACGGACCAGCGGCTTTCGGGCCGTTTCAAGATATTCGGTTCTCAGAGGACGGGCAGGCCGGAAATTATTCTGCCCGGGTGAAGCTGCAGGAGATGCTGACGCTGTACGACCAATCAGATGATTTCAGCGGGCTGCCCATGGTGGTCGTTTCCGACGGAACGTGCTTCTCTGCATGCGCAGTTCTAACGCACATCTTAAAACGAAGGTTCAACATCCCAATGGTGACTGTAGGCGGGATAAGGAAGCAGCCAATAGCAGTGAGCTCGTCCTGTCTGGGCGGCACGCTCGGGTCGCTTGATGACGGGATCTCGCTGCCACTTGCCGGCACGCCATTGGCCCAGGATCCCCGCGCCACCCAACCATTCCGTATGCAAATGGACCTGGCGTTTGCCATGCTACAGGCGTATGGGCCCGAGGAGGACGGCGGCAGTAAGGGGGGTGGGGAGCGGTGGGAGCGGGAGCAGCGGGAGCAGCGGGAGCAGCGGAGCAGCGGGAGCAGCGGGAGCAGCGGGAGCAGCGGGAGCAGACCCTGGTACAGGAGGTGTGGCGGAAGCAGTGCCGTGTGAGTTTGACTTTTTGGAAGCGGATGCGCACATTGACCTGACGATGGAGATGGTGGATCAACCCAGGTTCCTGTGGGCTGCTGCTTCTGACCTGCTTATGAAGGGGATGCAGTGACAAGCCGAGAGTCAGTGAATTGGAAGCCTGCATAGGATTTATCCATTGGAGGGAACGATGATGGACAGTGGCGGTGTGGGTTGTTTAGATTGTTCCAGATCCCGATTGTTGTACCATATATACAGCAGGAGTACTGATGCCAGGCTCAAGCCTCTCGTTGACCACTCTGCACAAGGTACCCCCCCCCCCCCCCCCACCACCACTCAACTAAGTATGAGCTCCAGTTAAATCTTTTCATGTCAATTGCAAACACCATGGTATAAATGTAGAGCGTATTCTGTTTCAAGTGAGGTGTCGAGACACAACGCTTAAAGAATAAGAATGGGTGGGAATAGAACCTCATGGTGCGCAAGCAACATGGAAGCAAGCAGTTTGAACAATTTATAATTAGTATCACGGTAGTCATTTTGCATAATGAATGGTCATGTTTATTGTCCAACATTAGGATTCGTTAATGAGCTTGTGTATTCGAAGTTTTGCACCGAACTTCCTCAAATTTCGTTGTGCTGTGCAGCAGGTGACCGACCACTCCAAAACGCGAGCTGTACTCGTGGCACCGACAGCAACGACTCGCCAGCTTCTAACCAAAAAGCCGGGCGCTCGTCTGACACGCGCGCTCAAGGGCTCCACCTTGCGCTTTCGAGATTTCGTCCTTGCCTCGCTGGCGATGACGACAACACCGCTAGGGGTTTTCATTTGCTCGCCATCCCTATGGCCAGGAATGCCAGGGAAATGCAGCAGGAATCATTTCTCGAACACAACGGGACAAGGTTATTCGTTCATTGAACCGAAAAAGGAATCGCTCGTCAAGGCTGGTTGGGAAACCTGGAACTCTCCGGAAATTTCGAGCGTTTAACCGTCATTTGTGGGCCCTGCCCTGCCGTTTGTTGACCAGTGTGGCAGCATTTCGCGCGGTAAACGTTAACCGCGAAAGACAGCACCGTCGTCTGACGTCGCACGCGTTAACGAGGGCTCTCAGCGTCAGGTTACCTGTCGCGCGTCCGGACAACCACTTTCCAACCAAATCGTTTTCCTGACCGAACTCCAGTTTTTCAAGCTTCCTGTGGTTCCGCCAACTTCAAGGGACCGTGTGTGGATGGGAGCATCTATCAGGAGACAGGCAGTCAGGCAGACCTCCGCCTACTAGAAACCCTTCCCTCGACACAACAACTGAAACCAACCTTCCTTCCTGGTCTGGTTTTCACCCAAGCTAGGGTTTCATTCCACCATCCTGGTCCTATCCTCCTTGCCAAATCGCTACTGGTTTCATCACAGCTGCCATAGCTCATTACTCACATCACTGTACACTCTCGTTACGTGTGCTTTCGCTAGCTTTCTCCGGGAAAATGGATGTGAAGAAGTTCGCCATGGAGCACGCCGCTCAAATGTGCCCGTTCCTCCGCAACGTGTCCCTCTCCTCGTCCTCCACAGCGCACTCGTCTCCCATCTCCCACTCGCTCGGGGACCTCTGCCCCGCTTCCGCGCTCTCCCGGGAAAGAAACCCATCTTCGAGGAAACGTCGTCCTCCTTCGAGGTCGCTTTCAGGCTCTTTCATGGCGAGGAGGGGGTTGTTCCGCTCGCTAAGCCTGCCGACTTTCTCCCGGCTGTCCCGCCAAGTCAGGCAAAATTGAAGACGCTGAGACCAGGCTGTCGCTCTCATCCCGTCCGACGCTCCCCGTTCTTGAAAGCACCGCTGAGAAGCAGACCTCTCACCTGAAGGCTTTAGAGCCAGCAGGAGAGCAGGATCAGGAGGTCTGTCCGTACGTTGCGGCTTTCGCTGGTGGTATGGGTGCGTCAGCGGCGACGATCAGCCTGTCGGTGTTCGGCCCTTCCGGACCGTTCAGCTATGATTCGTTCCGATCGCGCGGGGAGAGCAACAAGGAGCAGCAGAGACGGAAGGAGCAGGAGGAGAAGCGGCGACGCGAAGAGGAAGCTGCCAAGGTGAGCAAACGCACCTTGAATGGCGTACACTGTTCTAATAGATATCTACCGTGAATGGCGTACACTGTTCGGTGATATCATGATGTCGTACCTTTAGTCTCACATGACGTGTGTGGGTGTCACGCCGTTATGGTGCATGCTCTTTGCTCACATCACGGCGAACGGGTCGTGGCTTACGCCATGGTGTAACAGTTACTGCTAATGTGGTTCGCCTGTGAGGCTTCGCTCTAGGTTTGGTTGCCAATTCAGCAGCACCGGCAGACTTATACAGCTTTTGCCGTAAGTCGTGGATCCCATTCCTTCTCCTTTCCCCTTGTCCTTTCCAGGAGCGAGAGTCTGTTCACGAAGCCGAAGGCGAAGAATGGCTCGCGAGTGGCAACTGCCCGATCGCGAAGTCCTACCGAGCGTTTTCGCGAGTGGTGCCTCTGATCGCAGCGGCGATCCGTCCCGCGTCCGGCATCCAGTACCGCTGCCCGGCTCCCATCATCGCCTTGCGAGCAGCGGTCGCGAAAACCCCCGCTATGAAGGCCCTCCGTCCCCAGGCCCTCCCGATAAGAACGCTCGCTATAGGCACGCTCGGCATGATGCTGAACATTCCGCTGGGCGTCTGGCGAGAGCATTGCGAAAAGTTTTCGCCACAGTGGATTATCGCCGTGCACGCGTCCGTTCCGCTGGTCGCCGTCCTGAGAAAGGCCGCTCTTATGCCGAAATACGCCATGGCTTTCACTATAGCCGCATCCGTTATAGGCCAGGCGATTGGGGCGAGGGTGGAACGGACCCGCCTGAGAAAGCTCAAGGAAGCTGTGGAGGGTGCTGAACTGACAGAGAACATTACTGACGACAGCACTGCACGCACCAGCAGTAGCAGCAGCAGTCTCAAGGCCGTCCCAATGCTGCCTCAGAGGTCGGTTGCACTGTCTAAGTCCCGCAGCGAGTACCGGGTTGCGAGTAAGGGGCCACCTGCTGCTGCTGCTGGAGGCGCTACTACTGTGCCGTCTGGTTGCAAGGCGGCTGCTGCAGCTGCGAAGGAAGGAGTGGGAGCATTTGCCATGTCTGTTGGTGGCGGTGGGGCTAGCGGCGGAAGCCCTTTGAAGGTTGCTGCGGCTGCACACTGATTAGTGATGCCGCACATTCATTAGTGCTCCTGCATACTCTGTAGCAGTGCTATTGACAGTGCTGCTGCGCTCAAGTTATCCAGAGGGCACCAGGCAACTCTGGTAGTGAGGTGGCTACTGTAGGAACGTTATTTGTCATCCAATGAATGATTTCCTGGAGATGTCATGTTCATTTCCTTGATATTGAGGGGCCCCACCGCACTACAAGATATGTGCTGAATTGCACATGTGAGACCTTGTCAGCCTCATGTGGGAAGCAGAAAAGTTGCTCTTCGACTGTGTTCTGAATGTTTTGCTGCTACAATGAACAAGATTGAAAATCAGTGATTCCATTCATCCACACCGTAACTATTTTATGGCACTGTGGAGTGAACACGCTATCACTTGCGCGCAGATTTCCCTCCACCTGCCCGCTTCAACGCAGTGACTGCATCAGCTTGCCTTGAACCAACCACTCCAGCCATTCTCCCTGCCCCTCCACCAGCCCCTCGACCAGTTGCACCTCCCCCAGCTGGCCCTCCCCCACCACTCCCCCTTCCCTCCCTCCGCCCTGCCCCTTCCCCTGCCTCCTCTCCCTCCCACTCCCCAACGCTTCCCCCCCTCCCTCTCCCCTCGCCCCCACCATTCCACCCTCCCCTCCCCCTCCCCTTCCCCTCGCTCCCCTCCCTGCATCCCCCCTGCTACCCACTGCTTCCCTGCCCTAGCTGTTGCCATAGAAAGATATGGATTGGGGAGTACCCTACTGTTTGCGGGGGTGGTTGCTGCTGCTGACGTGGCGACAGAGGCTGGGTTTGCTCGCAGCTGATTGGCCAGCTCGGTTGTCATACCGGACTGATGTGTGATTGGGGGTGGGGTGGGGAAGGGATGGCGAGGTCGAAAGCAGAGGGCAGGGATGAAGAGATGCAGATTGGTAGAAAAAACAGATTGGGATAGCAAGGGCAAAGTTAAAAAGCACGGGCTGTGTGACCCAAGAGGGGGAAGGACAAGGAGGTTGAAAGAAGAGCAGCAGGAAGGGAGAGGGAGAGGTGAGAGGCACTCACAGCGGCGATGAGTGAGCGCAGGTTGGTGGGCCTGAGCGGCTGCGAGACAGCTTGCTTCAGAGTCTGAAAGCAGAAGGATAGGAGGGCAAGGCATCAGAAGGAAGAGGGCAGGGTGGGGGTTTGTGGCTGGAGGAGTTCGACGAGCGAGCACAGGTTGGTGGGTCAGAGAGGCTGAGAGACTGGTGGAGTGACGGGTGCAACAGGCAAAGAGTTGACACAGGCAAACAAGTGAGTCGATGCAACCGAGTAGTTGCTTCAAAAGATGGCGAGAAGAGCTGGCGATGCGGCTAGCAGCTCGGCCATGGGGTTAGCAGCTCGGCCATGGGGTTAGCAGCTCGGCCATGGGGTTAGCAGCTCGGCCACGGGGTTAGCAGCTCGGCCACGGGGTTAGCAGCTCGGCCACGGGTTGGCAGCTCGGCCACGGGGTTAGCAGCTCAGCCATGGGGTTAGCAGCTCTTTCAACCTCTGCAGCTCCATCACCTCTTGCTGCATCTGCTGCCACCCCTCCCCTGTTTCCCCTGGCCCCTCCCACCCTCCCTTCTCTCCAAGAGCACCCCAGAGATATCAACGCACTGACTGCACGCCCCAAACCCACTGGTTGGGTTCCCAAGTACCCCTGCTCATCTCACCTCCTTCATTCGCTGCAGCTCCATCACCTCCTGCTTCATCTGCAGTCGCCCACCCTCTCCAGCACCCACTCCCCAACTTCACGTATCTCATTCCCTTCATCTCTCATTATCACCCCTCACACCTCTCCTCCCTCATCCGCTGCAGCTCCATCACCTGCTGCTTCATCTGCTGCCGCCCATCCTCGCCTGTTTTCCCCTGGGCCCTCCCACCCTCCAAACCCTAAACACAATCCAAAGATACCAACTGATACCACCAGAGAACCCAAGAGCAACGCTCAAACAGCCCAAGACAGCTCATCTCACCTCTTTCATCCGCTGCAGCTCCATCACTTCTTGCTTCATCTGCTGTCGCCCATCCTCCCCTGTTTCCCCTGGCCCCTCCCATCCGCGCTTCTCCCCCCTCCCAACCAGCCTCCTCACATCCACCCCTCTATCCGCCTCCCCTTCTCCCCCTTCCTCCCCCTCGCTCCTCCTCGCCTTCTTTTGCTCCTCCGCTCCTCCTGCTGCGTTTCTTGTTCCCCTTCCCTCGCCCTCCCCTCTCCCCCTCGTCGTCACTCTCCCCTCCCGCCTCGTCAAAATCATCAAAATATTCCTCCTCACTCTCTTCCTCTGCTCCCTCTTCGTCCTCCTCTTCCTCCTCCTCCTCCCCTCCTGCCACGTCAGCACCCCCCTCCTCCAGATTCACCTGCACCGCCTTGGCAGCGCGCTGCTTCCAGGAAGTTTCCGCTTTCTCCTTGGAGTGCTTGCGGGAGAGAGTGTCGACACTTAAAGCCAGGCTGACACATTGCTTGAGGTTGGGGAGATAATTATGATCCACAGGAAAGGTGGGGAGAGGGCCGGACTGGAAGGGGCAGGGAGACAGGAGAGGTGAAACAGGGGGTGGAGAGGGACAGGAGGAAACAGGGCTGTCAACGCTTAAAGCCAGGCTGACACAGTGCTTGAGGTTGGGGAGATAATTATGGTCCACAGGAAGCGTGGGGAGAGGTCCGGACTGGAAGGGGCCGGGGAAGCAGGGGTGAGAAGGGGAGGGGAGAGGGGGATGGGGAGAGGGGGTTGTCTAGTTGAGGCGCCTCAAAACTAGACTCCTATCACGCCGGGGAAGCAGGGTGAGAAGGGGAAGGGCGAGGGGGATATGGGGAATCGGGTTGTCAACACTTGCAGCCAGGCTGCCAAACACTTGAAGCCAGGCTGACACAGTGCTTGAGGTTGGGTAGATAGTTGTGGTCCACTGAGAACGTGGGGAGGGTCCGGACTGGACGGGGCAGAGAGAGGGTGTGGCAGGGGGTGGAGCGGACAGGAGGAAAGCCAGGATGGTTTACACAGCCAGGATGATTGACACTTACAGCCAGGCTCACACAGTGCGTCAGATTGGGTAGGTGATGGTAAACCCCGTCGCAGTGCAGATCTTGCTCAGCCCGCAAAGTGCTCATCGCTCGCAGAGCATAATCTTGCTCAGCCCGCAAAGCAGCGCATCTTAGGGAGCACCTTTGGGAGTCACCACAGCATCCCGTAGAGGCAGAGCAACCACAGCGACTCACAACCCTTGCTGTGAGTACCACAGCATACCATGTTCAGCTTTCGGAGCAGCGACGAGTGTTTGGTGGAGTCTTTAGGCGTCACCAGAGCCACAGAGCACCACTCAGAAGAAGCATCTCGGCAGTGCGATGCCCCAGTAACCTGATACTCTCTCACCTTGTTGAGTTTTCTCAGCAGCGACGAGTATTTGATCGAGTCCTTGGGCGTCACCAGAGCCAAGAGGCACCCCTCAGAGGCAACTCCTCTAGCATTGTGCCCGCAGGCAACTCTAGACTCGTACCTTCACCTCTCCCATACGTTCTCAACACCCGTTCATCTACTCTCGTACCTTAAAGCCCGTTGTCTGAGTGCGAGAGTAGATATCCAACCTCAGCAAAGCGATCCCGAGGACGCGTTTGCAGTAATTAAAGTTTCGGAACCGGAGCTGGTTACATGGAATCAGGACCCGAAAGTGTCTCACGCAACAAAATTTTGGCCCAAAATCCAACACTTGGAATCGCAACTCCTTGCGAAACTTTGAGAACCCAACCCCCACCATCCACGCCCTCAACTCAACGTTTTGAGGACTCAAACCAAACGTAATACGGGTCTGCAGAAATACAATACTCGAAGCCTTGTCAAGTCTGACCTTCCACGATTTTCGAACTTGTCGCAACCCTCGCCCACTCTCTTTCAAAATTTCGCCCCTCCGCCCCCAATCAGACTCTTCCACCAAAGGTAATACCTTAGGTCAGTAGGAAATATGAGACACGGGCTTTAACGTCACCCGTACCTTGTTGAGCTTCCTCAGCAGCAGCGACGAGTATTTGATGGAGTCCTTGGGCGTCACCAGAGCCAAAGCGCACCCCTAAGAGGCAGCGCCTCTGGCTGGCAATGCGACTACAGGAGGATGTGTAGCGGGTGCACATACCTGGATCACTGCCCTACCCACCTTGTTGAGATTCCTCAGCGGCGACGAGTGTTTGATCGAGTCTTCGGGAGTCACCAGCGCCACAGAGCACCCCTCAAAAGCAGCTCCTCGAGTTTGCAGGGGTATTTTGAGAATTCTCAAAAACCACCCAGCACCACAAAGCACCCCTCAAAGAGCAGCTCCTCTTGCCATGCGACCTTAGGCTCTCCCCATCACCCTGAGGCTCCTCACCCTCACCTACGCTACGCTGAGGCTCCTCACCCTCACCTACGCTACGCTGAGGATCCCATACCTACGCTACGCCCTCACCTTGTTGAGTTTCCTCAGCAGCGACGAGTATTTGATGGAGTCTTTAGGCGTCACCAGGGCCACGGAGCACCCTCGGAGGCAGCTCCTCTGGCAGTACGACCGCAACGGTGCACGTAGCCCTCTGCGGTGTGGGCCAGCTGGTAGTGCACCACCAGCCGCACCTGCAACAGAACCAGAGGAGAGACACACAAGCATGGTATCAGCAGTGCACACAGGGGGTTGTGAGGCGCCTCTGGCAGGCAGTGCGACCACAGCGGTGCCCGTAACCCTCTGCAGCCGGTGGTGCACCACCACCACGCGCACCTGGAAGCGAGAAGGGGAAACACACAACAAGCAAGGCACAGCATGCACATAGGGGGTTGTTAGATGCCTCTAGCAGTGCGGCCGCAGCGGTGCCCACACCTTGCAGCAATGCACAAACACGCACCTCGGGAACATGCAGACTCACCATGGTAATTATTTTCCCGTGCACTCTAATGGCGCACATGGCTTTAAGCAATGCAGCGAGACTCACCTCAGGAACGTCCAGCCGTCTGGCCGCCACATCAGTTGCCACCAGTACTCCGTCAGGGTGCCGCTGATACCGATCCATCTAGCAGAGAGCAACGTTGGCCTGTGCAGCAGACATTGGCCTGTCTAGCACAGATTTTTTAGGTGCCTAAAAATGATACCGATCCTTGAGGCGCCTCAAAAATGATACCGATCTATCTAGCAGAGAGCAACATTGGCCTGTGCAGCAGGTGGTGCCATCCCAGCAGTAGCAGTCCACAGAGCAGGGCACACACTCACCTCAGGAACGTCGAGCCCTCTGGCCGCCACGTCAGTTGCCACCAGCACTCCGCTCGGGTGCTGCCGGAAACGATCCAACGCCTTCAGTCGCTGGCGCTGCTGCTGCTGCGCGTGCAGGGGGAAGGAAGGCACCTGCGGGGAACAGAGGATTGGGGTATCACAAGAGAATGCAAGAGAAGGCAAGAGAAGGCAAGAGAAGGCAAGAGAAGGCAAGAGAAGGCAAGAGAAGGCAGGAGAATGCAAGAGAAGGCAAGAGAAGACAAGAGAAGGCAAGAGAAGGCAAGAGAAGGCAAGAGAAGGCAAGAGAAGGCAAGAGAAGGCAGGAGAATGCAAGAGAAGGCAAGAGAAGGCAGGAGAATGCAAGAGAAGGCAAGAGTAAGTCAGCAACACATGCTGCCAGGAAAGCAATCCAAGGCCTTGAGACTCTGGCGTAGCTGCTGCTGGCGCATGCAGGGGAAATGTAGGCACCTGCGGGGGACCAGAAGAAGTGCACGGCCAGAGAAATGTGTGCTTGGACAAGTGGGTAGAGAAGTCTTCTGAGGAGCCTAGAAAATTGGACAAGCGGGTAGCGACGGGTGAGAAGGAAGAGCAGGAGAGATTCGAGAGACAGGAGAGAAGAGAGGGAAGGCAGATGAGGGAGAGAGGGGAGGGAGAGGAGGGAGAGAGGGGAGGGAAGGGTGAGAGAGAGGAGATGGGAGGGGAGGGAGAGAAGGTATCAAAAAGGGAGATACCTGCAGCAGGGCGAGGAGGGATGCGAGTCGTCGATCAACGGGTGCAAGACAAGGGTGCAGAGGCAAGGCTTACTAGCCGCAGGGCAGGGAGGGAGGCTTACCTGCAGCAGGGCGAGGAGGGATGCGAGTCGTCGAACGGACGAGATGGCAGAGCGGAAGATGAGAGTGCGGCCAAAGGTGAGGCGAAAAGAGGTGGGACGCCCAAAGGCGGGACGAGGCTTACCTGCAGGAGCGCCAGGAGGGAGGCGAGCCGACGGACAGAGGAGATGGCAGAGCAGAAGACGAGCGTGCGGCCGAACGTGCCGTGCATTCGCAGCAGGTAGAGCAGAAAGACGTCCCTCATGCTGTCGTCGCACCTGGGTTTGAGGGGATGAGGGCAGGGCGGGCGAGATGAAACAGTAGAGGACACTAGTATGAACAGGTGCGTGCACAAATTCTTAGGCGCCTCAAAGAAGCGCAGGGGGGGGTGAGATGGAGCAGCATGAGGGGCGTGTTTCTGCTGATGAAGGCCTATTGCTGGCCGAGGGGCGTCTTCCTGCTCTGCTCATCCGAACAGCATGAGGGGCGTCTTTCTGCTCTGCTCGAGCAGAAAGATGGAACAGTAGAGGACACTAGTATGAACAGGTGCGTGCACATAGGGCCTCCCCACAATATGTGACCCACTCTTGACTAGCACACTGTGTGTGTCTCCCCACACAAGATAGACCCCCTGAACCCCTCTGAACCGTATATGCACACACACTGTAGACCAGGCAAACACAATGCACCCAACCACAGCCTCGCACTTATTCCGGCGCTGCCTCTTGCACGCCGCTCGCCACCACTTCAGCCAAGTCAGATCCACGATGGATGGTGAAGGGCGCATGCCAGTCAACTCCATCACACCCACTGGAATCACTCTGCATCCCCCCATTCCCTCCACTTACTCTAGCGTTGCCTCCTGAACCCCGCTCGCCACCACGTCAGCCGTGGTCAGATCCACGATAGCTGGTGACGGTCGCATGCCAGTCAGCTCCATCAGCGAGGCCACCACCCGATCCCTCTCCAGCCCCTTCTCCATCACCATCCTGTCCCTCTCCAGCCCCTACGTATGAGCACATACCAGCACAGCCAGCCACCCCACAAGTACTCACTCTAGCGCTGCCTCTTGCACCCCACCCGCCACCATCCTGTCCCTCTCCAGCCCCTATGTATTAGCACATACCGACACAGCCACCCCACAAGGCACTTACTCTAGCGCTGCCTCCTGGACGCCGCTCGCCACCACGTCAGCCGTGGTCAGATCCACGATGGCTGGTGACGGTCGCATGCCAGTCAGCTCCATTAGCGAAGCCACCACCCTGTCCCTCTCAAGCCCCTTCTCCCTCTCCTTGTCTCCCTCATCCTCCTCCCCTCCCCCCTCTCCCTCTGCTGCCTCTCGGCCCCTCTTTCCTGCATGCCTCCCTGCTGCCCCTGCTGCTCCTGGCGCTCGTTTTTTTCCTTGCAGCTGCCCGCGGGTGTCGTCGGGCAGGACGAGCGTTGCTGAGAAGACCAGAACCTGGCGCTTCTTCTTCGCAAGAGTGGGAGGCTGGGAGGGGAACACCTCCTCTCCTTCTCCCACTTCTTCCTCTTCCCCATCCTCTTTATCTCCCCCTTCTTCTCCTTCTTCCCCTCCTCTTTCTTCTCCCTTCTCCTCCTCCCCCTCCTTCTCTTCCTTCTCCTCCCCCTCCTCTTCTTCACCACCTTTCCCCTTCCTTCCGACCTTTTCTCTGCCCTCTTTCCCTTTTCCTCCCTTTCCTCTCGCCGCGTCTCTTTCCTTGGCTAATTTAACTGCCCGTGCTGCCTTTTTGGCTGCCCGAGCAGCGTCTCTGGCTGCCAGAGCCGCCTCCTTCGCCTTAGCAGCAGCAAGAGAAGCAGCAGTGGGGGGCAGCATCCCCAAAATAGAAGAAAGTTCTTTAAACCTGCCCGGGTCAGCCATACGGTCAGCTTCGTCTAGAACGAGGAAGGAGAGGTAGTCAAGCTGCGGGGGGGAGGAGGGGGGAAGAAGGGGAGGGGATAAGGGATGAGTGGCAAGGGGGGAGAGCAGAAGCCATGGGGCCAGCTTCGTCGAGAACGAGGAAGCACAGGGACACAAGTTGCAACGGATGGGAAAGGGCGAGAGGGGGGGGCGGGGGGGTGCGAGAAGGAAATTCGGTTAGGGGGTAAGGGAGGTGATATAGAAAGGACAGATGCACAAGTTCAGGAGAAGCAAAGGGGAGAGGGATCCCACAGACCCACCCTCACCAGGTGTTCCTCCCCTTGGCCCATGAGCTCCCACAGCCGCACTGGAAGTGGCCACCACTATTTGCAGCCCAAGGCTCAGCAGCCGCCTCTGCTTCACCCCAGGCATGCCGCCCTGTGACTGAACACCCACCTGTGAGTGACACCATACCGTACCCTTACCACAGGAGCACTGACATATCACAGACAGTCCCACCTTCACCAGATGCTCCTCCCCCTGGCTCATGAGCTCCCACAGCCGCCCAGGAGTGCCGACCACGATCTGCGGCCCGTGGCTCAGCACTCGCTTCTGCTTCACCTCCGCCATGCCGCCCACGATGCCGGCCACGTGGATGCCCGTGTGGCGGGCCGCGTCTTTTATGTGCGATACAATCTGCAGTGCCAGCTCGCGGGTCGGCGTGATGATCAGCGCTCGCAGCGGCCCCTTCACCTTCTTTCTTGCCCCTGCGCCCTCCGCCTTTCCCCCTCCCTTCATCACCCCCTCCCCTTCCCCCTCCGCTTCCTCCTTCCCCTCCCCACTCTGCTCCCCACCACTATCAGCGCCCGCCCCCTTCCCCCCCTCTTCTGCCCCTACTTCCTCCCCCCCACGCTCCCCATGGCTCCCCTCCTCCTCCCCCTCCTCCCCCTCTCCCCCCCACGCCCCCCCTCCTCCGCCTGCCGCCTCTCCTTCTCCCTCTCATCCAACAACCGCTGCAGAATCGGAATCGCGAACGCCAGGGTCTTACCTGACCCAGTTTCAGCCGCCCCCACAACGTCCCTCCCCCGCATGGCGGCTGCAGGGATGCACGCGCGCTGGATGGGTGTGGGGGAGGTGAAGCCTAGGTCCTTTAGAGCGCGGAGAATGAGGGGGTTCAGGCGCAGCATTTCCCAGTCTGGCATGAGTATGTCCTCCTCCCCTTCTCCCTCCTCTCCTACTCTCTCTTCCCCTTCACCCTCCCCGCTTCCCCCTCCCCCCTTCGTCATCCTCTCCTTCGGCCGCCTCCCCGTCACCCTCCCCCGCTTCCCCCTCCTCGCACTCCCCCTCTTCTCCCTCCTCCTCTTCTTCTCCCTCGTCTTCTCCCTCGTCTTCTCCCTCTTGTCCCTCCTCTTCTCCCTCCTTTTTTCCACCCTCCCGCCTTTCCCCTGGCACATTGTTCCTCCCCGCCTTCTCCCCTCGCTTCAGAGCTGTTTTCAGCAGCTTCCTCTGCATCTTCCTCCTCTGGCTCTTGCTCAACTTACCCTTCCCCTCCCCTGCGTCTTTAGCCGCCTCAAGTATTCTGCTCATCTTCCCCTTCCCCTTCCCCTCGTCCTGACGCACCCCAGATCTCCCGCTCACCTTCCCTTCCTCCCCCCCCTTCAACCCTCCCTCTAAAACCATGTCCTCATTCTCCCCTTCACCCGCGTCTGCCTGTGTCTCTGCTCCCCCCTTCTCTCCCCCCCCCTCCATCTCTCCGCCCTCCATCTTCCCCCCCTCCAGGTCTCCCCCGCCCCCCAGTGCTCCGCCACCCGCCAGGCCCTCAAATTCCGCGGGGTCGATCTCCTCCAGCCCCATGAAGCCTGGCGCAGGGGGAGACAGGGGGAAGGGGGAAAAGCGGGAAAGTTCGGAAATCGGGGGAAACGCTTGCCTACAGTCAGGATTACCAAAGTGGCGGCATACCGGCTGCTGCTGCACTCCGGCCATCGATGAGAATCTGCGTTTCGAAATTATAGCGAGGGTTTACAGAGAGTAGGCCGCATACCGACTGCTACTAGACTGCGGTCATCCATGGGAATCGGCGCTTCCGCGGCCGTCACGTCTGCGTTTCAGGGTTACAGTTAGGGTTACGGAGAGGTGGGGCTACCGAGGTGACGACGTACCTCCTGCAGCGGGATTGCGGCCGTCCATGAGGATCTGCAGCCCTTCCACGGGCGTCACGTCTGTTCTTCAGTTGACTCAGAAGCAGGCGACAGCTAGGGTAACGGAGAGGGTGGCATACCTCCTGCAGCGGGGTTGCGGTCGTCCATGAGGATCTGCAGCCCTTCCACGGGCGTCACGTCTGTTCTTCAGTTGACTCAGAAGCGGGCGACAGCTAGGGTAACGGAGAGGGTGGCATACCTCCTGCAGCGGGGTTGCGGTCGTCCATGAGGATCTGCAGCCCTTCCACGCGCGTCACGCCTGCTTTTAGTCGGCTCAAAATCGGGTTACAATCGGGGTTACAATCAGGGTTACGGAGAGGCAGGGTTACAGACGTGACGGCGTACCTCCTGCAGCGGGGTTGCGGTGGTCCATGAGGATCTGCAGCCCTTCCACGGGCGTCACGTCCTTCCATTTAACCATGCGCAGATTCACTCCGTCTCCCCCGATCGTCTTCCCCCCGCCAAACACCTTCTTTCCGCGGATCATCTTTCCTACTTGCCGCGACTTTCCACCCCTTTTGCCGCCGATTGCCTTGCTCTCTTTCCCCAGCAAACCATTCCCTTTGCCGCTAGCGCTGCCTACTTCTAATGCCCCGCGCGACCCAGGCCTCGCTGCGCCGCCTCGGGTGCGTTTACCGCCGCTACCTCCTTTCATGGCTAGCTGAATCTCGAGAACACCGGGAAGGGGTTCTATGAAACAAGTTGCAGCTTCTTCACTCTACCTCGCTTATGCCCGAATTCTTTCAACAGGGGTTTTCAAGTGGTGGTGTTGGTCCGCTACACAGATCTTCGATATGAGCAGAAGTTGAATTTTAAGATTAAGAGTTCGACAGCCGAAATTGCACTCAGACGGGATGGGGTAGGATATGCGTTACAAACTGCCTCAGTTCGCAGACTCTAGAGGGCTCAATCTGCAAGTGCACTCAAATATGAAACACCGAATCGTAATCAGGCGAATAAACTTTGACAACGAATAGGAATGCTTGATGGCGTGTCACGTGCAACCAGCACTGCCACATCGGCAGGGAGATCTCCGCGCCAGGCGCTTGTGAGTGTGGCTCGTGCGGTGCGGCATTCTCGGTGGTCCCTGGGAGTTACGAAATCTCCTGAGCAGGGGGATGCTTGCAATTGCAACAATTCTAGACAGAAATCAGAATGAGCGAATTGGAATCGTCGAATCCTCCCTGATGCTCTCAACAGCCAGTGACTGTCAGTTTTGCTTGTTCATTCAGTGTGTGTCAGACATGGCCTGCAATTTACACGATACTACCATCAGTTGAAGCATACATCTTAGATCTCCAAATTTCCTCTTACAGATCTCCGTTCGCGCTAGCACCTTGTTGCTGAGGCTTGTTAACGATGGCTACTACAGTTGCTGTTGCTGCTGCGTCAGCTAACATTGCGCTGAAGCTTTCAGCGTCCCAAAATGGAGTCGTTTCTTACTCTCGGGCTCCCGCTCTAGCCACGTTCGCCAGGGTCTCCAAGACGAGTAAGACTAAGAGAGCTCGCTTTACCGAAATTCCGTGTCAATTTTTCAAATCCACGGTCGTTCGGAGGCTCACGAACAGCTGACTTACTCGCAGGTGTTGGGGAGAAGCGGAGGAATTGGGTGGTGAAGGCCACCTCTCCACAGGTGGAGGAATACAAGGAGAAGGCCAACGAACTCGTCGATGTCGCAAAGGCCAAGGTATTCAAGATACTTGCGGCTCCTTCGTAGATTTTCATCATAGCTTTCCTCTGGATATATTCCTCACCAAAGCGTGTTGATTTCTTATTCAGTGGGAGACGGTTGACAACAAGCCTCTGGTGGCTCTGTACGCTGGTGGAGCCGTGGTTGGCTTGTGGGTGACATCCGCAATCCTGGGAGCTCTCGACAGCATCCCGCTGGTGAGAAACACACCAGACACTAGCTGCAGCCGTAATTCCTTATGTATTCAGACGCTTCTCTTATTCCTTCGATTTATGTTCTCCAATTGCCAACGCTGCAGGTTCCAGGCTTCCTGAAGCTAGTTGGAACCGTATACACTGGATGGTTCGTCTACCGCTACTTGATCTTTGAGGTGAGTCGTCGCCATTGAACAACCGTATGTTAAAGCCGTGGTACACACCTGGGGCACCATCTTCAAACTAACATCCCCGCTTGTTGCATTGCAGGCTTCCCGTAAAGAGCTTTCTGACAAGGTGCAGGACCTGATTTCTCAGATTAAGTAAAGCCCCAGCTGCTTCTACAAAGCCAAGGGCGAAGTTACAGAGAGCATCTTCAAAGAGTGGCACACACACGATCATGTGATCCAGGCTGTATAAAATTCTCTAGAGTAAGCAACTGGACTGGAGTACATTGTGGTCAGCTTCCAGGTGTCCGATGCCACATGCTGCAGCATGCCCAGTTGTTTGTCTATACCACTAGTTGGTTTATAAGCTACTGGGTACAAAAATATTAAACCGGAGAGGGTACCCTGTGTGGCCAACTATTAGTGACCAGATATATAGAAACAAATCTAAATGAATGCTCCTCCCTGGCTCACAAAGCCAAGCGGAATGTATGCAGCATGAGTACATACACTCATAAGCTAGGCAGTGAACCTGCCTGCAAGCTATAGAAGGCCTACATGTAGTCATCACCCGCGCCCGGAAAGTGCTGCATGTCAGGATGGATCCCTCCACCCGGAGGACCTCTAGGCCTTGGACCACCATCCCTGGAGAAAGGAGAAAGTAATATGGAAGTATGCAGGCACAGAAAGGTAGAATGGGAGGGTTATTTGGGCATATGCATGGGCGGATGCCCACATGCCTGCATGGGAATGTGCATCAGTAGTTCCCACCCTTACAGCCAAAGCTTAGTATCCTGTAAACCCCAAATTTGCAGGATTGAACAACCTTTCTTACCCAAATCTGCCTGGCTCGAAGCCGGGGATGCCTGGAGGGCCGAATGGATCGAAGCGAGCTCCTGGTGGCATTCCCCTGCAAGCACATGAGACATGAGTGAGACTACTGGCTGCACAAGCGATGCTACCAACAAAAGAAAATCAAGACCACTGATCTCTCATCACATGGCGCACACAAGAGCTCAAACACATGCAGGGTCAGTCAGAAACTTACGGAGGCAAAGGTCCCACTCCTCCTACTCCTCCTGGAAACTGTGGGCCCCACCTAGGATCATGAGGCCCTGGACGATGGAGGGGGAGAACGCAAAGGAGGGTCAAACGAGCACAGCGTGAGCATCAAGCATGAACTGACGCAGAATGGAATTCTGATTGCATGGCAGCACCTATGAACATTGTACAGAACACATACCTACTAGCATACTTCCTCCACCGAAGCCAGGCCTGCCACACAGGAAGGAAATCCACATAAACGATCAGAATGTGCACCACAAAGAGATAGAACACTATATGCAAGATTATTCTGGTTCACAAGTGCATACCTGGTAGGCATGATGCCAGCTCCCCCTCCTGGATGCAAGTCATCGTATGGGGGCCCTGCAGGCATGGGAGGATATACGATCCCCCCCACTCCCCCTCCTTCACCAACTGAACCACGCTCAGGCTCCTCAAAATAAACCCCTCCTGTCCGCCCTCCCTCTCTCTCTGCACCCCTCCCTTCTCCCTCTCCTGCTGTGCCTGTGGAGCTGGTCTGTGCTGCAGATGCACCAGCACCAGCTCTAGCAGCAGCGGTACCAGCACCACCAGAGGCATCGGACGTGGTGGTAGAGGTGAAGGGCTTGATGATGGATGATAAGATGGAGGATACCAGTGCCGAAAGCCTAGTGTAGATTTTACTGTAGTCAGCTGATGTTGGAGGAGTGTCTGCCGATGTGTACTCAGGGACCCTGGAGAGCGCAAGTGGTAGATAATGGGAAAGAGAAATACTCAGCACACAGTCAAATACGTCAACGAGAGAGAGAAAAAAAAAACAAAAAAAAAACCATTTGTTGGACTCTCTCAAACCTGATTTCAAGATGTGAAACAAAGGCTGAAGCCCCTCCTGCTGCTTCTGAGCCTGTACCACCCATCCCTGTCGCATCCACCATAAGAAGCTCCCCTCTGCAACAGATAAGCACTGGACCACCACTGTCCCTGCTGTTTTATCTGCACTTGCTCCTTCTGCTGAATCTCCGGGAGTCTGGTGCGCGTACGCAAACGTATAGACATCTGGAGTTGCATTCCAGCCTTCAATCCCCGCATCCGCGCTTGAATCGGAGCCTTTCGAGCCTGCCACCATCAAGAAACTCCCGAAACCTTAACCAAATAAAAGTTGACGCGGCCGACTAAAAGAGAAAAGAGCATGAAAACTCGTGCTGAGAAACTCATCTCACCCATCTCAACCGAGTCCTACCTGCAGCAATCTCAGCGGCATCAGGGCCGACTGCGAGGCACCTGAAGCCAGATGCCAGAAACGTCGCATGGACTGCAAACGCAACGCTATCTGGCTTGGATTCGAATCTCGGTCGATATGCTCTAAGTAGAGCCAACACAGCCTCGGAACTAGCCATATTAGGCGGGAAATTACGGTAAGAGTTATGAGATAAAGAAATGCTGGAATCCAGGAACAAGCAGTGATGCTAAGGGTGGGGCGCAACAAAAACGCGCTAGTTGTAGGTCCTCTCAGCAGCAAGAGCGACTACGTGATTAGAACTTTCGTCAGACTGAACCTCGTTTGCGCGGAATACGGCCATGCAGGGAGGCTAGGTCTAGAATTTAGGATTCACCAAAATGGAAATTCGGGAGGCATGGAGTGAAATGTGGCTGAAGGGGCCAAATCTTGCGACAGAAATCCTCGTTAGCTGCATTTCGCAGCTCGATGTATCGTTTCTCGTTCACGTCGTCTGCCAATCACAACTGCCCAAGAGCCGATCGCAACACCAATTTTGGGCTTCGGTCTGAAGGAGTGCGTGATTCTGAAAGCCAGAAATGCAAAATAGTCAAGTTTGCGAGAAAAACTGTTCGATACACTTCATTGAGGAAATTATAATCAGAACTCAGAAACTGGTTGGACGTGCGCGACGTGAGGCGCTTCCAAACCAGCAGAGCCGCTTTGCCATCCGTTACAGTCATGAAAAAACGATTTCGAGCCAGAAGTTGAAGTCCGGCCTCCCTCGAATACCAACCACCAAGCCCCAAACCACCAGCTTCGTTACCTCTTTCTTCCGCAGCTGACCCATTTCCATGTTTCCCCCAGCCCCGCTGACCAGTCTCCCCTTTCCCCGAGTCTCGACCAGCCGCTGCTTCCTAGAGCTGGGGCGGAGCTCGTCTGCCCCGCGTACATGTCTAGGCTTTCCGCCACTTATCGGCAGTGATTAGCTCCGCAGCCTCAACATTGGGCACCGCCATACACTCCATAGGGGCACTTCCGCCAGTCCTTGCCAACTTCCGCCAGTTTCTGGCGAGCCTTCGTCATTTTTCAAGCAGCCCGCCCGCTTTGCTCATTCCCCACACCCTGCAGCAACAGCACGGCATTTCCCCACCTTCTCCCCCGATTCTCCCCATCATCCCGCCTTCCCACCCCACCTTCCCCCCCAATCATCCCGCCAGCCTAACTTCTCCCTTTCAGCCATGGCGGTTGCTCCCTCCCTTTAACTGCACCCACTCCAACTCTTATTACCGTCGCCTCGCCTTGCCACCCGCCTTAGTTAGAACTTAAGAACCGCCTCGCGCACCATCCGGACATCACCCGAGTAACAGTCGCTGGCTCTCTGGTATCGAAGAGCGTTCTGCATTGCGTTACTGTTTGCTCCTCGTCCCTCACTTATACGTCGCACGTCGCGATCTTTAGGTGCAAGCTATTTACTTAGCCTTCTCGTATAATATTATCCTGAGACGGAGTCTCGCTTACGCTCTCTATTTTCGCGAGACGCATTACGTCGCTAGCGGTTAACGGAGACTGTGCTATCTAGTGCGTATGGTTCTGCAACCCTAATTGCAGAATAGACCCATGGGTAACTGTTAAAGTCGTATTAGTTGCTGAGCTATCGAGGTAGGTGGACCTATGGGTGGGTGCCTATCTACCCCGAAGGCGACGATAGAGGAGCAGAGACCCAATAACGCACCCCCACCAGGTAAGCTGCCATAGTTCCCGTTTCGTAGCCGGCATGTCTCGACTTCTTAAAATGTTTGCCGCGCATATCTAGCGAGAAGGCAAGATATTGGTGCGAAGAGCGTAATGCCGTAGTTGCTGGCTTCCGTCATTCGTACTGATACTTACTCGTTTCCTGGTACGGTTTTTCGTCCTTTAGTGACCTTATTGTGTTGCCAGCTGGCCAATGTGAGAACGTCGAGACGACTCTTAAGTCGATGTCACTATGAGTCGACTCAGGAGTCATTACAGTATTTCGTGCTTTAGGGGCCTTACCGTGTTGCTAGTTCGCCAATGCGAGAGCGCCAGCTTCCGTTTCTCCGACCGCCGTCGTTTCTCCTATGATAGACGAGTTTTTTTTTTTGCATGCGAAATCACTCGGCTGAGATCCAGCGTCGTGCCATTCTCTTACTACCCTCTTTTTTCTCCTTTTTAATGTAACGACGGACGCGCGAGCCTTATCCCGGGTTTAAAATCTCATGGCTTTTTCACTCGAACCATCTCCCCTTCACACACTCGTTTCCCCTCCTCCCCTCTCCCCCCCTTCCTCCCAACAGGTGGCGAGCCGCCTAAAGTTGCTGGGGGTGCGCCCGCTCCGGAGCCGGGAAGCAACAATCAGCAGCAGCAGGAGGAGGAGCAATGGCGGATGCAGCAGCAGAAAGAGCAGGAGGCGCTGCAGCAGAAGCAAGCGTACGAGGCGCAACAGATGCAGGAACAGCAGCAGCTACAGATGCAACAGCAGCAGCAGATGCACTACCAGCAGCAGCAGATGCAGATGCAGCAGCAGCAGCAACAGCAGCAACAAATGTACATGCAACAGCAGCAGCAGCAGCAGCAGTACGGGTCAGATCAGCAAGGGTATAATCCTCAATACGCGCTGCAACAACAAGACCCCCGGTACATGCAGCAGCAGCAGCAGCAGTTACAGTACCACCAGCAGCAGCAGCAGCAGCAGCAGCAGCCACCACCCATGAACCCCTACCAGCAGCCCCCCCATCTAGCCCCCCAACTCCCTCCGGGTTTCCAACAATCCATCCCCGCGCCTATCCCTCCCCGTGGGCTACGACAAGTGAACGAAGAGGAAGAGGTAAACGACGGGCAGGGGGGGTGGGGAGGCGGAGCGGCCGTAGCAGCAGCAGGAGGAGGGGGAGGTGGAGCCGGGGGAGGTGTTATCGGGTATCAGGAGCAGCCTGCGGAGCTACAGGAATATTCGTACCAGGATTTAGTTGATGCGACGGAAGATTTTCAGGAACACTCGGTGCTGGGAGAGGGCGGGTTCGGGAAGGTTTATAAGGGGTATGTTTTGGACCGGTTTCCGGTGGAGGGCGGGCCGCCCGTGACGGCGACAGTGGCGATAAAGAAACTGAACCCGTCGGGTTACCAGAGCAAAGTGGAGTGGATGGTAAGAAATTTCGCAGAGCCTTTTATCGATTATCGCTTGAGGGCTCTTCTTCCCCTCGCGCCCGCTGCGTGCCCTTCCGCTCCGCGCTTTCTCGCGCTCCTCCGCCTGCCCCCTTCCAGTTTCCCCCTCGCTTCCCTTGCGTCTTCCTGTCGACCCCATGGCGCTCCTCCCTTCGCCCTTTCGCGCGGTTCCCCTAGCATCGTTGCGCTCTTCCCCTCGCTCTCCTTGCGCCCTTTCCCTCGCCCCCCTTGCGCTCTTCTCGTCGCCCTTTCGCGCGTCCGGAATTCACAGATGGCGTTTCTCGTCGCTTGGTTTCTACACCAGTCTTTTCGTGTCAGATTTTACCAGCTGGGAGTTATTTTTCCCGGTCTTTTATTCTATGTTAGTCGTCCTTATTTTTTGGCCGCTCTTTCGACTGGGTTTGTTCAAAACGAATTGTTGTCCCTTTGGTTCACATGCCTGCGTGTGCGACGGCAGAGGGAGATCCTGGTGCTGGGAAGATTGAACCACTCGAATCTGGTGCTGGGTACCTCATCTCTGACAGCTTTCTGAATCGCCTTGTAACGAAACATTCTCCTTCTTCCACTCGCGTGTGACGGCAGAGGGAGATCCTGGTGCTGGGGCAAGCTGAACCACCCGAATCTGGTGCGACTGATAGGGTACTGCGCGGAGCTGGAGGAGATGCTGCTCGTCTACGAGTTTGTGCCCCGGGGCAGTCTTGACTACCACCTCTGGCCAGGTGAGCGCGAGTTAGAGCGACGAGGCTGGGTGTTGTTGAGAGTCGAGTCAAGGGTGAACTCGACATTCCCCTCACTGCTCCCCCATGCATATGCCGTACTCCCCTCTGCCCCCAACGTGCCAGCGAACCCCTGCCATGGCCAGCGCGGCTGCACCGGGTGGCTTGGCGCGTGTGCTGAGACGCTTCAAGACACGTCGCGCGACCTTGTCTCGTTTTCCCCTCCGTAACCCCCCCCCCCCCCCCCCCCCCCCCCCCCCCAAATATGCCGTTCTCCCCTTTGCCCCCGACGTGCCTGCTGGCCCCCTTCCATGGCTATTGTGCTTGCGCATCACTCACGACGCTGCTTGTGGCTTTGCACCCCTCTGACCGCTCTATGCCCCCCTCCGCTTTCCCTTCTCCCCGCTGCGTGCCCTCAGCCCCCAATGTCCCTGCAGACCCCCTGCCATGGCAAGCGCGCCTGCGCATCGCCCACGACGCGGCCTGTGGCTTGGCGCACCTGCACGCCAGCAACTTCATCCACCGCGACTTCAAGGCGCCCAACATCCTCATTGCCGAGGTATGTCGCTAGCTCCCTTATAGCTCTCAGTGAGTGCCCGCGTGGGCTGCCGAACCATGCCCCACCTGCTTCCCTGCCCCATCTGCACGCCAGCAACTTCATCCACCGCGATCTCAAGGCGCCCAACATTCTGATTGCTGAGGCACTCCTGGCAGCATGTCCCCCCACCCTCGCTTGCCCATTTTGGTTCCCTGGTCCCCGCGCACCTGCACGCCAGCAGCTTCATCCACCGCGGTTTCAAAGCCTTTTTTTGGCACACATCTCAACTCCACCATCACATCCCGCTCTCTAACCCATGCACCCCAGTCTCGCCTCTCATCCCCAACCCGCCCCTTCCTGATTGTTCCAGAACTATTCGGTGAAGCAGACGTTTTTTGAGCTGGTAAGGACAGGCCTGGACTTGAACCTCCTTGAAGTCACTCTAAGCCCACCCCACCCTCACTCCCCGCGTCCCTCTTCCCCTCACCACTCCCCACCGCTCTTCTTGTCTTTCCAGAACTACGCAGGCAAGCTGACGGATTTCGGGCTGGCGAAGGATGGGCCGGATGCGGGGCAGACGCATGTGTCAACGCAGATCATGGGCACCATGGGGTACCTGGACCCGCGATACGCCGAAACAGGTGGGCTTTTCTTGATGGGTTGAAACAAGTGTGATGCTGAGGCAGGTGGTATGGCGAGACAGGTCACATCATATGGTCACATGGTCATGGCAGATGGACGCAGATCATGGGCACCATGGGGTACCTGGACCCGCGATATGCCGAGACTGGTGGGTTGCTTGTGGTGGTGTGAAACAGGTACACTGCTGCTTGCGTGCCCTTCATGGTTGGTGGTTATTTCCTTGCGTTGCAACACACTGCCATTCTCCGGCACCAATGTATCAATCTTTGTTTCTGACCCACCCTTACCTCCGGCAGGCCAGCTGACAGTGAAGAGTGACGTGTATGCCTATGGCGTGGTCCTCCTAGAGCTCCTCACAGGCAAGAAGGCCATGGGAATCAGCCCTGGCGGCAAGCCCAAGACCCTCACCTCCTGGGCTCGCCCGTACCTCAACAAGGCTCGGCCGGACCTGGAGTCCCTGGTGGACCCGAACCTGATTGACCCGTTCCCTGAGAAGGTGGCTCGGACGCTGGCTATTTCGGCGAAGCACTGCATCCAGGATGACACCAACATGCGGCCCATGATGAGCGACATTGTCGACACGCTCAGGCCTCTCAACACGGCTATTAATGGCCGCCGCTAAGTGTTCTTCTGGCTCTTAGCCAAGGGTGGTGGCGAGAAGGTGGAGGGAAAGGTGGAGAGGAGGTGGAGGGGAAGGTGGAGAGGAGGTGGAGGGGAAGGTGGAGAGGAGGTGGAGGGGAGGGTGGAGAGAAGGCGGAGGGCAGGGGGGTGTGGGACGACGGCAGATAGCAAGAGCAGTGCGGGGAGGGGAGCGAGTGTGTGCAGCGGAGTTAGATTGACAGACCAGGGCAGTGCCCCCGGGGAGTCAATCTAGCACAGGGCGTGGCGTTTTGAACGAATGACCGTTATCAGTGACTGGCTGAGTGGCCATCAGTCGACATCTGTCGGCTGAGGGGAGATGGGGGGTCTGGCAAGGCAGCTGTAGTGACAAGCAAGGCAGCTGTGGGTATGCTTGATGGATGCGCACCTGAGTCGGGGGAGGTTGAGCAGAAGCGGCTGGAGAGTCTTTTGCACTGGCCTAGGGTGGGGTGTTCAGCCGTGGTCTTTGCTTGGGTGGTGAGGTGAACTAGGGGCTGTCAGATGTGTGTTTGAGCCTCCAGTTTTGTTATTTGGTGAATATAACATATCAGTGGGTTGTTATGGTATGCGGGTGAGGGGGAGAGGGGGGGGAGGGGAGGTGGGAAGGGGGGGGGGGAAATGGGGGGTGGGGGGATGTGACTTGTGAGGGTGTAGTTGACATGTTTCATCTAGCATGGAGCTCAGGTAGTGGGCATGGGATGGAGAGGCACAATGCAGCTGCTTAGGCAACTGGGTCCATGTGGGCCTGGTGGTTGGATAGGACGAAGGGCCCTTTTACAGTGGTGGTCTTAGGAAAGTCTTTGATTAGTTATTTAGGGAGACGGTGGCTGCTCTTTTGTGTCGGCCTTATGTGGCGTAGGAGTGCAGTTTGTCAGCTTCCTCCTGACCTGATGCGCACTTATGATAGGTGAGGCGTTTTGCTCTATTTATTAGAAGGGTGATGGGAGCGCTCACATTTGAATGCAAGTGGGTACGCCATGAATAAGACATTTGTAGGATTAGCTACTATCCGGTATTGTTTTAAAAATTGTACCGTACATCCCTTTAACTTGGCATCTGATCTTACAGCGAGACGTTGCCCACCTCCCTCCAAGCTCAAACCTCGAATCTGCCGAGCCCTTACAGCTGCCAAGAGCCTTTCTTTGCTCACGAGTCACAAGTCACGAGTCACCTCACCACCAGGGCGATCAGTGAGTCGCTCACTTTCCCTCGCGTCTCGTGCTTCACTTCCCCGCATCTCCTCGTCGCCCTGGTCGCTACTACCGCCGCACTTGCAGGATCCGTCAGTGCTCGCACCCGATCATGCCGGTACGGATCCCCCCCGTTTTTATGCTATTTCGTGCGTGGGGATTGAACTCTCAATGGTGCTTAGATCTCGAATCCAGAGGCGGAGCGCTTCGTACGAGTATAATATTGTTGCACGGATCGCAGCTAGTTCACATCGCCTTTGAGCTAGTTTCCGAAGTTTCCAAAATACCAACTCAACTCGCAGCCAATTCACATCTCCCTTCTTCACGGTCGTGTTTCTCGCAGCCTTGATAGTCACTGATGCTATCTTCAGGCAGCTTGCTAGCCTCGTGCCTCTACCCTTCCATTGATTCAGTTTCCCCGTTGCAATCTGACCCGTTATTCGCTTTCAGGCGCGCCGGTTGTTGGAAATAGAGCCCCCAGGCCCTTTTCGTTATATTCTGGGCGCGGCGCTGATGCTGGTGGGGGTCGTGCTGCCGCTCACGTATTTCATGTTCCGATCCAAGCGAACTCCGCCTCCTTCGTTCAAGCAGACGTAGGTGTGGTAACCCTATATATTCGCTAGAAGCATGCTGGTGGGGGTCGTGCTGCCGCTCACCTACTCTATGTTCCGATCTAAGCGAACACCGCCTCCTTCGTTCAAGCAGACGTAGGTGTGGTAACCCTATATACTCGTTATAAGCATTTACGCGTGCTGCTTGCTTACGTACGCGATGCAATGTCCCGACCCTATCGTACGCTATTCATCCAGTTTATCAAGCGAGCAGCGGAAGTTTTAGGTCTGGGCAGACCAGTAGGAAATCTGGGCTGCGTGTGGTGGGATACGCCTCTGCACCTTCATCTCTTCACTCCCAGTCTCCTCATCTCTTCCCGCCCAGTCTCCCAGTCTCTTCCGTTCCACCCAGCCAAGCCCTCCTCACCTTCATATTTTTCATTCCAGCGAGATTCTCTTCTCCAATCAAATCAAATCTCATCTTCACTGCGATCTCTCCCCCCTCCAGGTTTTAGCCCGTCAACCATTCCGACACCAGACCAGATCTGCCCATCCGTTCACTCTCGAGCTCTCCTTAAAACCAGCTGTCAGATCAGGCTGTCGTTCCGGTTAGGTTTGGGAATCGCAGCCGCCGTTTGTTGCTGACCTCAGCAACCGATCATGGCTCGTCTGCTGGGTGCTAGACCCCTGCCGCCGCTGCTGCGGGTGCTGGTGGCGGTGATGGTGGTGGGGGCGGGGGTGGCGGGGGTGAGGGCCTGTATGAGGACCAGGTGGGGACGTACGACTGGTACCAGCAGCGCATTGGCCGGGCTCGCTTCGCGTCCTTCCTCACCTCCTCGCAGCGCAAGCGCGTGCTCGTTGGCACGGATAGGAACGTCGTTGCTGCGCTAAACCTCCGGACAGGGGATATCGGTGAGTGAGCGGGTGTGAGCTGTGCTGTGCTGGTGTGAGGTTTCTTGTGAGTGCGAGTTTTGGTGCTCTCCTCGCCTCCTCGCAGTGCAAGCGCGTGCTCGTGGGCACAGATAGGAGCGTCGTTGCTGCTCTGAACTTGCGGGCAGGGGATATTGGTGAGTGAGTGAGCCAAGGGGTGCGTTGATGCATTGCACAGCCCACGATAGGCAAGCGAGCAAGCGCGAGCTCGTGGGCACAGATAAGAACGTGATTGCTGCGCTGAACCTGCGGGCAGGGGATATCATCAGTGAGTAGACGCGGTGACTTTTCACGTTTTCCTGCACCTGATTTTATCGGTGAGTTGATGCTTGTACTGCCGCTGTTCTCTTTCTTCAATGTGTCTCCCCCTCTCCCTCTCCCCCTCCGCCTCCCTCCCGCTCCCCCGCGCCCCCGCTCCCCCCCCTTCCACCCCCATCCGTCCTCCTTTTTCCCCCCCGTCTCCTCTCTCTGCCAATATGCCCCCCGTCCCCACGTTTTCGCTCTGGTGCAGCGTGGCGTCGTGTGCTGGGGGATGCTGACACCCTCCACGCCCTGGATATGGGCGGCCGATGTGAGTGGCTGGAGGGATATGGGCGGCAGATGTGAGTGGATGGAGGGATATGGGCGGCAGATGTGAGTGTTAGGAGGGATGTAGTGGGGAGGGATGGAAGCAGGTATGAGTCGAGAGGGGGGAGAGGGAGGAGATGTCCCGACATCCCCCACACCCTACCCCGCCCCCCCCCCCCTCCCTCTCCTGTTCAATATTTGTATCCAGGCCTTGTCACAGCAGTGAGGGCACTGAGGAAGCAGCGGGTGAGGGCACCGAGGTAGCAGCAGTGAGGGCGTGGGCTGTGCCCGACAGTGCTACTAGGCACCTCAACTGTTCACTTCTTCACGTCCATTTTACTCTGCCCCTCTTTTGAGCCGGCTCAAAAGTCACTAGGCGCCTCGAATGTTCGCTTCTTCATGTTCCTTTTACTCGGCCCCTCTTCCAGGCCTTGGCACAGTGTCAGGCACCGAGACGGCAGCAGTGAGGGCGTGGGCTGCGCCCAATAGTGCCCTTGCATGGGAGATCTCGTCACTGTGTCAGGCACTCAAACAGTCTATTTTTGAGGCGCCTAAAAAATTGTTTCCGTTGCAGATCTCGTCACTGTGTCAGGCACTCAAAAAGCAGCAGTGAGGGCGTGGGCTGTACCCGATGGTGTTGCTGGGCCCCCAGCTCTTTTCGTCACCCCTGCTAAATCTATCCCCCCCCCCCCCCCTTCCAGATCTCATCACTGTATCCGGCACCAAGATGGCAGCAGTGAGGGCGTGGGCGGTACCCGATGGCGCCCTTGCATGGGAGACCGCCCTACTGCTGCCTTCGGCTGCTGCTTCGACAGGAGGGGCTGTGACTGCTAGTTTCATCACCATTTCGGTGAGTTGGCCTTATGCTCGGGTTTCGTTAAGAATTGACTAGTTTTGAGACGCCTCAAAACTAACCTACTTAACTTGGGCTGCTGCTGCAGCAGGAGGGGGTGTTACTGCTAGTTTCATCATCATTTCTGTGAGTTGGACTTGTGCTCAGTCTCTTTCACAGTTGACTCATAAGCTACCAGGAGTGAATCTCCTGGTAACCTGCCATGCAGTTCTTGCCCACCAGTCTTGGATTGCCCACCAGTCTTGGATTGCCCACCAGTCTTGGATTGCCCACCAGTCTTGGATTGCCCACCAGTCTTGGATTGCCCACCAGTCTTGGATTGCCCACCAGTCTTGGATTGCCCACCAGTCTCGGATTGCCCCACCAGTCTTGGATTGCCCCACCAGTCCGTTCTCACTTCTAGTCACCTCGTATTGTAGCCCTCTCCTCTTGCATGCGCTGTCCGAGTCCGTCCTTCACCTTTGCATGTGCGAACCGCCCCTCTCACGAGAACCGCCGCTCTCTCCTGGGGTCTTGAGAAGTCTCACGCCTTTGCATGTGATGTTCCTACCTCACATCTGACCTGATGCCCCCTCTGCATGTGTGCTCCACTCCTCTCTCCTCAGGCCCCTGATGCGCCTTCCACAGACCGAGTGGTTGTCTTACTTGGGGCAGCATCAGCAGCAGCAGCAGCAGCAGGGTCCAACCCAGCAGCAGCAGCATCTGCCGTGCATTGCTTGTCAGCTGCTACTGGTGAAGTGCTCTGGTCAGCCGCCCTGCCCACACCAGCGCACAGCATCTCCCTCCTCCCCCACGGTTCTATCCTCCTCACTGCCCTCTCCCCTGACCTCTCCTTCTCCCTCACCACCCTCGATGCCGCCTCGGGAAAGGTCACTGCCTCTGCTTCCTCTCCTCCTTCCTCCTCCTCCTCCGTTTCCTCCTCTTCCTCTTCCTCTTCCTCTGCTCCGATTCCTGGTCCTGCTGCTGCCTATGTCACTGCTACAGGCACTGCTGTTGCTGTGGATTCTGTGTCTGGTAACGTCCTCACTGCTGTGCTGGTTACATCTGCTACAGCAGATGCCACAGTGGGCGCTACAGTGGGTGCTACAACTGATGCTACAGTGCACGTGCGCAGTACGCCCCTCGCCTCTCTCCTACCCAAGGAGCACTACCAGTCGGGATCTTCAGCTACAGTGGTGCCAGAGAAGGCTCCAGGAAGCTTCGTCTGGCTGTCAGTGCCTGGAGCTGTGTTCCTCCTGTCAGCAGGGGGAGCAGGACAGGCTGAGTCAGCGGGACAGATGTCACTCGTTGATTCGTTCCCTGGAGTGAGCGCTGTTAGTGCGAGTGTTGTGGGAGGAGCAGCAGGGGCAGGAGGAGGAGGAGAGGGAAGGGAAGGGGGGGAGTATCACTCTGGTCTCGTGGGATCGCAAGGTGGTGGCGATTCCCTGAAGTTTAACATCAAGGTGAGTTGTGATTTTGAGTCGACTCAAAAGGTGATTTTTGAGTTGACTCAAGTATCACTCTGGTCTCGTGGGATCGCAAGATGGTGGCGATTCCCTGAAGTTTAACATCAAGGTGAGTTGTGAGGAGAGGTGTTGCGAGAGGGGTGTTTGCGTGTGTGAGTAGTAAGGAAAAAGGGGGGAGGGGGGAGAAGGGGAGTTCACGTACGTGGATGTGTGTGTGTGCTCACTTTTGAGTCAACTCCAAAACGTACGTGGATGTGTGTGTGTGCTCACTTTTGAGTCGACTCAAAAGCGTACGTGGATGTGTGTGTGTGCTCGCTTTTGAGTTGACTCAAAAGCGTACGTGGATGTGTGTGTGTGCTCGCTTTTGAGTCGACTCAAAAGCGTACGTGGATGTGTGTGTGTGCTCGCTTTTTAGTCGACTCAAAAGCGTACGTGGATGTGTGTGTGTGCTCACTTTGCCTTGTCGCTCTTCCCTCTCACCAACCCCATCTCTTACCTCCGAATCCCCCCCCACCCATCCCCATCCCTCCCTTCTCCTCCTCCTCCCCCCCTGTCCTCCCCCTCTTCCTCCGCCTCTCTCCTGTCTGACTCTGTCTGTCTCACCACACCAGGGCCCTCCTGCTCGTGTACTTTCCACCTTGTCGCATCTTCTCTTGCCGCTGTCCTTCCCCTCTTCCCTCCCTCTCTCCTGCAGGTGCACGAGCTGCCTCCAGCCACCACCTCCCCCTCCTTCCCACCTCTCCTCCTCTCTGACACTGTCTGTGTGTCTCCTCATTGCGGCTTTCCTGCCCGCGTCTCTTTCAGCTTTGTATTTCCCCCCTCTCTTGCCCTCTCGCCCTCTCTTTCCCTCTCCCCTCTCTTGTCCTCTCCCCCTCTCTTGTCCTCTCCCCCTCTCTTGTCCTCTCCCCCTCTCTTGTCCTCTCCCCCTCTCTTGCCCTCTCCCCCTCTCTTGCCCTCTCGCCCTCTCTTTCCCTCTCGCCTCTCTTCCCTCTCCCCCTCTCTTGTCCTCTCCCCTCTCTTGTCCTCTCCCCCTCTCTTGTCCTCTCCCCCTCTCTTTTCCTCTCCCCCTCTCTTGCCCTCTCCCCCTCTCTTTTCCTCTCCCCCTCTCTTGCCCTCTCCCCCTCTCTTGCCCTCTCGCCCTCTCTTTCCCTCTCGCCCTCTATTTCCCTCTCCCCCTCTCTTGTCCTCTCCCCCTCTCTTGCGCTCTCCCCCTCTCTTGCCCTGTCCCCCTGCCCTGTGTCCCTCCCTTGTCCTGTCCTTCCCCTCGTCCCTGCAGGTTCACCAGCTGCTTCCTTCCTCCTCCTCCTCCTCCGCCTCTCTCCTCTCTGACTCTGTCACTGTTCCTTCTCACCGGGGACCACCGGCTCAAGTCTTCCTCAACGCCTATGCTAGGGCAGCAGGGGCAGGGGGGGCGGGACGGGGCAAGAGTGAGAGGGCAGGAGGGGCGGGTGAGGGGAAGGCGAGTGCGTTTGGGTTCAGGCTGCTGGTGGTCGGGGAGGATGACTCACTGTCTCTGCTGCAGCAGGTGGGTCGTTGTAGCGGGTCACAAGTCAGTAGTTGCCCTTTTAAAGCGACTCAGAAGTCAGCCGAGTGCGTTTGGGTTCCGGCTGCTGGTGGTGGGGGAGGATGCCTCGCTCTCACTGCTGCAGCAGGTGGGTTGGTTCACAGGTGGGTTGGTTCACACTACAATCTTAGTTTACGGCCCCATATCTGGGGCAGCTTTAGTTTGTTACGACGGGTCTTTGGACTGGTCCGTTTCTTATCAGCCTCTTTGTTTCAAATGGAACCAAGGTGAGAATCCCCCACGTCTTCCACTCCCCCTGCTCGCCCCACTTCTCCCACTTTCCCATCTCCCCCTCCTCCCCTGACCGCTGTTGCCCCATATTTCAGGGGGAGGGTGTGGGTGGGGGAGGAAGCTCTAGCTTCAATTGTGGCAGTGACAGTAGCAGAGCTGCCAGAGGAGGAGGAGGAGCTGTCAGTGGCAGCAGTGGAGCACGACTTGTACGAGTGGGCGCGCACACACACCATCTCACTCCCCTTCCCCACTCCCTTCACCATTTTCGCCCCACCTTTCAGGGTGAGGTAGTGTGGGAGAGGGAAGAAGCTCTGGCGTCAGTAGTGGCAGTGTCCGTGGCAGAGCTGCCGGAGGAGGAGGAGGAGCTGTCAGTGGCAGCAGTGGAGCACGACTTGTACGAGTGGGCACATACACACCTGTTGAGGGCCAAGGCGTCCCTCAATCTCGCCTCAGCTGACGAGCAAGCCCTGGTGCACCGCCTGCGCACCGCCTCACCTGAAAAGGTCCGGCCTTTCCGGGATAGGAACGGGTTCCGCCGCATTCTCCTGCTGCTGACCGCGCCAGGTGGGGGCAACAGAGCGTCAGGTGGAAACAGCAGAGGGTCAGGTGGGAAGCTGTTTGCGCTGCATTCTGGAGATGGCCGAGTGCTGTGGGCTGCTGCACTTCCGTCAGGTGGTTCTGCAGTTGGATTGGGCGCGTCTGTGTTTTCACCTGAAGCTATGGTCCTGTGGAGGGACCCCCACCGCATGTCACCTGACCAAACACCTGAAGCTCTGGTGCTGCAGATTCGGCAGCAGGCACAGAAGCAGCAAGAGGGGGGAGATAAGGAGGTGGCACATGCTGCGTTAGTGACTGTAGTGAACGGACACACGGGGGATGTGCTTGAATCGAAGGGTCTGCCTTTCGTCCCCCGGCTCGTGGTTCCCCTGCCCCTGGTAGGGAAAGACGAGAGGCGGCTGGTGATGCTCGTGGAGAAGGGTGAGAAGGAAGCGGAGGACAGGAAGGAGAGAGGATGGTATCAGCCCGTGCACGTGCATGTGTTCCCAGGGACGGAGGAGGCGAGGGGGTTATTCGAGGGGCACAAGAAGGAGGTGTTCTTCTATCTGGTGGATGCTGTAACGGGGGCAGTGGAGGGGTATAGCATTGGAGAGAGGGTGGAGGAGGAGGGTAGCAGTGGCAGCGGTGGGAGCGGTGGTGGGAGGGACGATGGTGGGAGGTTGGGTAGGGGCGTGGTGTATGGAGCAGTGTTGGTGTGGAGGGTGGTGCTGCCTGCTGACTCGGAGGTCATTTCAGCCGTTGCTGCACCTAAGAGGGAAGAGGTGGGTGTGTGTTTAGCGTGTGTCTGTGGGTGTGTGTTTAGCGTGTGTCTGTGGGTGTGTGTTTAGCGTGTGTGTGTGGGTGTGTGTTTAGTGTGTGTGTGTGGGTGTGTGTTTAGCGTGTGTCTGTGTGCACCTGTGCATGGTGTGCGTGGGGGTATGGAGCGGTGCTGACGTGGCGGGTGGTGCTGCCTGCTGACTCGGAGCTCATATCAGCCATTGCTGCGCCAAAAAGAGACAAGGTGGGTGTTTGCGTGTGTATGCATGTGTGTGTGAGTGTGTTTGGGTGTGTGAGTCTGGGGGGGTGTGCGTGTGTGTGTGCACATCTGTGCATGGGTGTGCGTGGATGTGTCCTGGTTGATTGCAGTGTGAATTTCGAGCGCGTCTCCCCTTCCTCCCTTGCTGTCTTTGCCCCAGACCCCTCTCCTCCCCCCCTCCCCACCCCTCCTCCTTACCGCACTTGCCCCCCTTCCCCAACGTTCCGTCCCAGCACACGAAGGTGCGTGCCTTGGCTGAGCGCAGTGTGCAGTTCAAACTGCTTTTTAAGAACCTTCTCTGCCTTTGCCCTGTCTTAAAACCCAAACCCCCATCACACCCATCACCCCCCCCCGCACCCCCTCTCAGTCCCAGCACACGCAAGTGCGGGCCCTGGGTGATGGCAGTGTGCAGTTCAAGCTGCTTTCCTTTCCAAGCACCTTGAATTTATGTCTCTGCCTCTTTTTGCCCCCAAACCCCAACCCCTATTCCCAACCCTCCTCCCCCCACCACGCCCCCTCTCAGTCCCAGAACACGCAAGTGCGTGTGCTGGGCGACCGCAGTGTGCAGTTCAAGCTGCTTTCCAAGAACCTTCTCTTTCTCGCCACAACCACACCCGCTGCTGCCCCTGCTTCCGCTGCTGGGGGCACCGGAACAGGGGGAGCAGGGGAGGGAGGGGAGGAGGGGGGCGCGGTGGTGGTGTACTTGATAGACACGGTGGGAGGGGCAGTGGTGGAGAGGGTTGTTCACAAGGGCATGCAGGGGCCGGTTCTCGCGGTGAGTGGAGGGGTTTGCATGCATGTTGCTTGTATCGAAGCTGTCTGTATGGAAGCTGGTTGTTTTGAAGGGAGGGGCAGTGGTGGTGTATCTGATAGACACAGCGGGAGGGGCAGTGGTGGAGACAGTCATGCACAAGGGCATGCAGGGGCCGGTGTATGCGGCGAGTGGAGGGGCTTGTATCGAAGTGAGGTGGATCCTAGCTCCTTGTATTGAATCGGTTTGTATGGAGGCTGGTTGTATTGAAGGAAACGGAGGCGGTGGTGGTGCATTTGATGGACCTGGTGGGAGGGGCAGAAGAGTCTTTTATTGAGGCGCCTGGGAAGTGGAAAGAGTTGATCACAAGGGCACGCAGGGGGCGGTACATGCGGTGAGTGAAGTGGTCTGGTTAAAAACAGTGTGGCTATTGAAGCAGGGTGCTTTAAAGGGGTGGCAGTGTGGTTACAGGAAGGGGGTTTGATGCTGCTATTTGCTGCATTGAATGGGTATGTGACCTACCTGTTCCTCTTGCGTTCCCCTGTAAGCCAAGTGCAGGAAGGCCAGAGAAAGGGGTGGTACATCACAGCGTCAGCCCCACCCCACTGCTTCTTGATACAAAGGTCCTCACCTTTGTCTCTCCCCTCCCTTCCCCCCCTCTTTCCCGGCCCCCCCTCCCCAGGGAATGCAGGTGATGGCAGAGAACTGGGTGGTATACCACTACTCCAACCCCACTGCTTCTCGATGACAAGCAGCTTCGTCCTTTCCTTTCCCCCCTCCCTCTCCTCTCCCTCCCAACGTCTGCTTTCCTTTTCCCCCAATCCCCTTGCAGGTCATGGCAGAAAACTGGGTGGTATACCACTACTTCAGCCAATCCTCTCGATGATAAGTGCTTTTGCCCTTGCCTTTCCCCACTCCCTGTCCTCTCCCCTCCTTCCCCACCTCCCCCCTTGGTGCATACAGGTAATGGCAGAGAACTGGGTGGTATACCACTACTTCAACCCTGCGGCCTCTCGCCACGAAGTATCCACTATAGAGCTCCTCGACTCCTCTCTTAAGGACGTCCCCGTTATAGAGTACCTCAAATACGGGCTCAGCATCCCAGGGGCGTCCAATCTCACCGCCCCGCTTTCCGCAGAGGAAATTCCCTGGGAGAGGGTGAAGCGGCTGAGGCAGAGTTACTACTTCCCCTATGCGTTGAAGTGTATTTCGGTGACTTCCACCCTCGCGGGGATTACCAACAAGCATGTGCTGTTTGGCACGGCTCTTGACCAGGTGAGGGGAAGGCGGGAAAGAAGAAACTGGAAGGGAGTATGGTAGGACATTATAGATTCGAATTGCCCTTTATTGGAGGTATGGCTTGGGTTGGGAAGGCGTCTTTCATTCTGTCCCTTGTACTGTCCCCATGTTATTCAGTTTTTCAAGATGTATTCTCGTCACTCCCCTTTATCTCCGTTCCTTTCCTGATCAACTGTCAACTCCAGCATTCCCACAGAGCCCCCCAGAGTGCTCTCAGAGTGCTCTCAGAGTGCTCCAGAGAGGTCTCAGAGGGCCTGCATGATGCTCCTTCGCTCCCTGTGTTCTTCTCTCTCCGTTTTCTCCCTTCCTTCCAGGTGCTCGCCCTTGACCGTCGCTTCCTGGACCCCCGCAGGGTGCCCGAGCCGTCGCAGCAGGACAAGGAGGCGGGCATCATGCCGTACAGCGACTCGCTGCCCGCGCCGGGACAGGTGAGTCATGGCTAGTGGTGATGCATGAGTGAACGCATAGTGAGCGTTGACTCTAGCGACTGGCTAGAGTCGCAGGAGGACAAGGAGGCAGGTATCATGCCTTATAGCGACTTGCTGCTTGCCCCGGGACAGTTGCCGCGTGGCAAGCTGATTTGGTTGAGTGATTACACAGTGAGTGATGTCTGTAGATCCCTCGCTGTAGGACAGGTGAGAGCAAGCTAGGTATGGCGGCTTGGCTGCCGTGTGCGAAGAGCCATCATGTGTAAGAGCTATCATGTGTAAGAGCCATCATGTGTAAGAGCCATCATGTGTAAGAGCCATCATGTGTAAGAGCCATCATGTGTAAGAGCCATCATGTGTAAGAACCAGGCCCTCCCTCCCTCCCTCCCTCCCTCCCTCCCTCTTTCCCTCCCTCCCTCCCTCCCTCCCTCCCTCCCTCCCTCCCTCCTTCCTCCCCCCTCCCTCCTTCCCTCCCCCCCTCCCTCCCCCCTCCCTCCCTCCCTCCCTCCCTCCCCCCCTCCCTCCCTCCCTCCCTCCCTCCCTCCCTCCCTCCCTCCCTCCTTCCCTCCCCCCTCCCTCCTTCCCTCCCCCCTCCCTCCTTCCCTCCCCCCCTCCCTCCCCCCCTCCCTCCCTCCCTCCCCCCCCCCTCCCCTCCCTCCCTCCCTCCCCCCTCCCTCCCCCCCCCCTCCCTCCCTCCCCTCCCTCCCTCCCTCCCTCCCTCCCCTCCCTCCCTCCCTCCCTCCCTCCCCCCCCCCCTCCCTCCCTCCCTCCCTCCCTCCCTCCCTCCCTCCCTCCCCCTCCTCCCTCCCCCCCTCCCTCCCCCCCTCCCTCCCTCCCTCCCTCCCTCCCTCCCTCCCTCCCTCCCTCCCTCCCCCCCCTCCCTCCCTCCCTCCCTCCCTCCCTCCCTCCTCCCCTCCCTCCCTCCCTCCCTCCCTCCCTCCCTCCCCTCCCTCCCTCCCCCCCTCCCTCCCTCCCTCCCTCCCTCCCCCCCTCCCTCCCTCCCTCCCTCCCTCCCTCCCCCCCTCCCTCCCTCCCTCCCCTCCCTCCCCCCTCCCTCCCTCCCTCCCTCCCTCCCTCCCCCCTCCTCCCCCTCCCTCCCCCCTCCCTCCCCCTCCCTCCCTCCCTCCCTCCCTCCCTCCCTCCCTCCCTCCCCCCCCCCCCTCCCTCCCTCCCTCCCCCCCCCCCCTCCCTCCCTCCCTCCCTCCCTCCCTCCCTCCCTCCCTCCCTCCTCCCTCCCCCCTCCTCCCTCCCTCCCTCCCTCCCCCCCCCCTCCCCCCCTCCCTCCCTCCCCCCTCCCTCCCTCCCTCCCTCCCCTCCCTCCCTCCCTCCCTCCCTCCCTCTTTCCCTCCCTCCCTCCCTCCCTCCCTCCCTCCCTCCCTCCCCCCAGGCCTATCTCACCCATCGCTACCGCGTTGAAGGCTTGAAGCACATCATCTCTGTCCCCACGCGCCTTGAATCAACGACTCTTGTGCTTTCTTACGGCATGGACGTCTTCTTTGTGCGCACGGCCCCGTCTCGGGTGTTTGACTCGCTGGGGGAGGATTTCAGCTTCGCGCTGCTGCTGGGCACCATTGCTGTGCTCTCGATCGCGATCTTGGTGACCTTTGGTTTATCGAGGAAGCAGGAGCTCAAGCAGAGGTGGAAGTGAGGGATAGGGGGATGAGGGGAATTTGTGGACGGGGAGATGAGACACTCGGCTTTGCAAGGCCGAATTGCGAGTGTTTGACTCGCTGGGGGAGGACTTGAGCTTCGCGCTGCTGCTGGCCACCACCGCTGTGCTCTCCATTGCCATTCTGGTGACATTTGCTCTGTCCAGAAAGCAGGAGCTGAAGCAGCGGTGGAAGTGAGGGGTAGGTGTGGGGGGGTGTGGGGAGGAGGTGGTAAGTTTCTGACTCAGAGGACTTCAGCTTCGCGCTGCTGCTGGGCACCATTGCTGTGCTCTCCATTGCCATTCTGGTGACATTTGGTCTCTCTCGCAAGCAGGAGCTGAAGCTGCAGTGGAAGTGAGGGGGGGGAGGGGAATCTGTGGGAGAAAAGTGAGAAATTTGGCATTGCAGGGCCGCATTGCTAGTGCTTGGCTCACTTGGGGAGGACTTGGGCTTTGCGCTGCTACTGTGAACCATTGCTATGCTGGCTGTTGTGATTCTTGTGACCCATGGTCTCTCTCTCGCATAACCAGGGGCTGAAGCAGAGGTGGATTGAGTGAGGGGGTTGTGTGTGGGGCGGCCGAGGCTTTGCTGTGCTGCTGGGCACCATTGCTGTGCTGCTGGGCACCATTGCTGTGCTGCCGGGCACCATTGTTGCTATTCTGGTGACCTCCGGTGACCGGTCTGTCTCGAAAGCAGGAGCCGAAGCAGCTGTGGAAGTGAGTGGTAGGGGATGTGAGGAAAAATCTGGGGGAGTGTGGAGGATGGGTAGAAACGAAAGGACTGGAGGTTTTTCCCTCCGGGCTAAGTAGTCTATTTTTTAGGCGCCTCAAGAATAGATTCCCCCCTCTGGGCTAGGTAGCTGTGCTTTAGATTACCTAGCTGTTGACATTGTGTGTGTCTCTGGCAATACTACATTTTACCCAGTCACTCGGCAATAGAGGAAGCGAAAAGAAGCACATGCGCCTGAGGGCGAAGAGAGGAGTACAAGCTTAGCTGCTGTTGGAAATGATATTAGCCCAATAGCTGCCAACCATACGCTGACCACCAAGTTACGCACCACCACAACTGAGCCCTCTATACATCACATCGCACCAACTTCAATCATATGGCATGCGAGCAGCTGCCACAGCTACAAGCTCTGAACAAGTTGCAGTCACTTCACAGCAATGGGTGCTGCTGTCGATGACGCTGCCACAGAACTTGCCACAGAACTTGCCACTCCTTTTGCTGCAGACACCACAGCAGCAACAGCAACAGAGGCAGAAACAGCAGCAGCAGGAGTAGGTGCAGAGGCCCCAGGGTCAGCTGTTGCAGAGGCTGCTATAGGCTTCGAGGGACGCACAGACTCAGCAGCAGCAGCACCATCCCCACTGGTCTGAGATGCAGCGACACCAGGATAAGGTGCAGCGCTGCAAGGGTAGTTGGCTTCTGTAGGGGCAACGGTGACAAGGTGAGCGGGTGGTGGGGCGGCAGCATGAGCAGGAGGGGGCAGGAAGCCGACGTGGTGCAGGGCGTCCTTGAGCGCTCGGAGCACGAGAGCAATGTTGGCGTCACGGGCGTTGTTGCCCATGATGCCGATGCGCCACACCTGGTAGTGGAAGGGGAGGGAAAGGAGAGAGGAGAGAGAAGACTTTGTAAGGCACTTGGGCTGAAGCAGCAGCAGCAGGAGCAGTCGGGGGCAGGAAGCCGACGTGGTGCAAGGCGTCCTGGAGTGCTCGTAGGACGAGCAATGTTGGCGACACGGGCATTGTTGCCCATGATGCTGATGTGCCACACCTGGGAGGAATGGAATGGGGAGAGGGGCGGGGGACGGGGGGGGGGCGGGGGGGGCTGGGGGGGGGGGGGTTGGGGAACATGGTGGCGGTGGGGAAGGGGAGGGGAGGCGAGGGGAGGGGAGGGGTGGACGCCTGGGCTATGAATGAGACCGATGAACTGATATGCAGTTTCTACCCGAATGCTCATCCACCCATCCACCCATGTAAACACGCACTTAGTCACTCATTCGCACTCTCCCCCTCAAAACGTTTTTCCCACCCTCTCACGCACCATGCCAACCGTAGGCCCCAGCCCCCCGGCAATCTCGAGGTTGTATTTCTCCATCAGGTATGACGTCACCTGCGCCCAATGCACGCCCTCAGGCACCTTGATGGTGGTCACCGTGGGCAGGCGGAGGGACGGGTCCTTCACAAATAGCTCAAGGCCGAGCTGATGGGGTGGGGAGAAGGGGATGAGGGAGAGGGAAGGGTGCGATAAGTGGATGAGATAGGCCAAGGTCGAAGGCACCTTGATGGTTGTCACAGTGGGCAGGCAGAGGGACGGGTCCTTCACAAACAGCTCCAGGCCGAGCTGGGGGGGGGAAAGGAAGGAAGGGGGTGAGAGCGAGGGGGTGGGGTTGAGGTTGGCGAAAGGTAGATGGCACCTTGGGAAGGGGAGAGGGAAGGGGAGAGGGAGAGGGAAGGAGGGGATGAGTGGATGAGATAGGCCAAGGTCAAATGCGCCTTGATGGTGGTCACTGTGGGCCGGCAGATGGACAGGTCTAGACCGACTTCAGGGGTGGGTACGGGGGGGGGGGAGAGGGGGGGGGGGGGGGGGTGTGCTGGCCAAGCTCGAATGTACTCGCCTCCTCTCCCTTGTCTCACCTCCCCAATCCCAGCATGCAGCTTATCAGCCAGGGAGCAGTGGCGGTGCCACACACTCTCCAGCCCCTCATCCACCACGGTGCCACTCGGCACAAGTGCGTGGCAGTATGCATAAGCTAAATCACCTTCTTGGTATCTCACCTCCTCAATCCCAGCGTGCAGCTTGTCAGCCAGGGATCGGTGGCGGTGCCACACACTCTCCAGCCCTTCATCCACCACCAGCGCTAGCGCCTCTCTGAGTGCCATGATGTTGCTGCCGATTGCTGCATGGCGGTGGGGTCAATGCAAGACAACGGATGATGATATGGATTAATTGGATTGAGCAAATGGAATGCCGAAGGGGAATATTGGATTGGATGTATGGAGGGTTGTCTTGTCAGTACTTACAAGTGTGGTGGTATACGTTTGGCTTGCCGTCGACTGCCCAAAACGCCCCAGCCTGTTGTTAACCAAAGAAGCGAGCACAAATGCATAGATATCGGTTCATTCATAAATGGGATTAAGGAAATACCGTAGTTGCCTTGTTATGCGTTTGGGAACTTGAATTTAGAACAAACACGAGGAGGTACAACTTACCACATTCATGTCAAAATAGTATGTCTGGATCTGGTGCGCCTTGCTTTTGAGCTTCTCCCTCGCACGCTCATTCATGGTGAATGGCGAAGGCGAAACAAGGGACGAAAGGCACTTTTGTGACCTGCAAGTCCCACGAAGACAGCCAGCAACATACTTTTGAGTCTGCATAACATTATGTATATCAAATCACATTTTAAGAGGGGAAAGCGATTTTTTAGCGAGGGAGATCGGTGTACTACGTACCCGCTATAGCAGACGTCGATATCCCACTCGTCCATAAGCACGGGCACTCCGCCCGCCGTGCAAATCGCGTCCACCACGAGCAGCGCACCTGGCGGGCCAGGGGAAAATGTGAGGGGGACGTGGCAGGGGGCTTCAGCAGCATCCAGTTTTCGTGCAGGAACACGGGGGGAGGGGAGGCACCTCCACCTCTTCGTGCAACTGTAAAATTGAACCGCGAACGGTCCCCAGGCGTGAGATTATTGGGGGGAGGGCGGACGGCTGGAAAGAAAGAAGGGTCACCTCACCGGCACATGCGAGTTGTGGCCCTCTCAAAGTCGCGCCTTTTGAAAATCAGTCTCCGTATGACTTGACACCTACTTTGTCGAGGAGAGTTCGCAGGGTGTCTGTCTACCAGACTACCGTAATCCTCTCACCATGCTTGCGGCACAGCCCCCCCAGCCACTCTAAAGGCAGCACCGTGCCCGTGCTCGACTTCCCGTGCACCACGAAAACCGCCGCGACTCCCCGCTAATCCCCTCTACGAGAATAGTACGCGCTGTAAGCAATCTCACCGTGCTTATGGCAGAGATCCCCCAACCCCTCTAGAGGCTGCAGCGTGCCCGTGCTGGACTCGCCGTGCACCACGAACACCGACGCGACGCCCGGGTTCGCCTCCAGGGCGCGCGCGAAGTCGTCAAGGGAAAACACCTCCCCCAGAGGCGCCTGGATCGTGCGCACGTCGCCACCGTGCCGCCGCGCGAGCAGCGCCATCCGCTCGCCCCACATGCCGTTGATTGCCACCAGCGCGACGTCGCCGGGCGCCACAACCTGAGGTGTGATTTTAGCGGGAGGAAGCGGAGGTTAGTCATTAGAGGGGGGTCTAATGACGAAATCTATCGGTTTTGTACTAAGACGAGGAGGTTCATCGATAGACAGAACCAAGCTAGAGTTGGTTATATCGAGCGTTGACTCACGGCGTTGACCGGCGGCTTCCATGGCGGCGTGGCCCGAGCACACCAGACGTACGACAGAAACTTGTGATACAAGCGGGGGCAGGGAGGCATAGCTGACTATAGCGGGGGGGATGGTGCAAATTGACGAGCGTTGACTCACGGCGTTGACTGCGGCTTCCATGGCGGCGTGGCCCGAGCCGCTGACGCCGAGCGTGAACCGGTTGCGCGTCTGAAAGACGTACTTGAGCCACTCGCGCACGTCGTCCATCGCGGACAGCAGCGCGGGGTGCATCTGTACGCGATACAAGGAGAGATGCACGCGATAAGAGAGAAGTTAGTATGTAGAACAAGTTGATGGAGGATTGGAGGATGGGCCGGAGGGGCGGCGATGGGTGAATGATAGACAAGGCACAGGGGGGGGAGCGAGACGCCGCTACGGAAGCAGCAAGAGTGCTTGCGAAAGAGTGCTTGCGAAAGGGATGTTCGGCTTACATGGCCGACGAGGGGGGAGCCAGCGGCGGCGAGAACGCGAGGGTGGGGCGACGATGGGCCGGGGCCTGTGAGGGGGAAAAAAAAGGGGGGGGGGAAGAGGGGTAATCATGGGAATGAGTCTGCTATTGAGTCGACTGAAACGAGAGGGCGTGGTTTCGAGGGGCCGGGGCCAGAGGGAGGGAGAGAAAGAGGGGGGTTAGCGTTGACGAGGGGAACATGGGAATGCGTGACGCCCATGGGGAATGAGTCGATTTTTGAGTCGACTCAAAAATCGACTCATTACACACGGAATGAGTGACGCCCATGGGGGCAGGCGGAGGCATGAGAAATCCCGGAGGAATGGGGAACGAGAGGACAGGAGGCAAGGTCGAGAGGCTGACTCACTCATGAGCAGCAGGTTGGGGAGCGCCAGAGGCGTGGTGGGGCGGAGGCATGGGGGACGACACGGGGAGTGTGGGTCGGTAGGGGGCACGGCGGGAGGGCTCACTCACTCATGAGCAGCAGGTTGGGGAGCGCCAGAGGCGTGGTGGAGATGCTCGGCCTCTCGACCCTCGTCGCCGCGGCCGTTGCGGAAGTAGCCAAGGGAGCCATGGCGATGGATGTAGATCTAGCGCTGCACAACCTAAGGGTGGTAGCGAGGGTTCTTGAGACGTCTCAAGAAGGAGGGGAGTGCAGCGCGGCTCAGGGGCCACCCAACACGCGAGGCAGCAGCACGAGGAGGCCTCGGAGGCGCTTGTAGCTTACTGGGAGAGTGTAAGCTATGCCCACGGCTGAAGCGAGTATGGGGGTTTTCGATCCAATCTATTTACAGATATTCACAATCAGTGCGGGTAGGGATGGCCTGAAAGAGGAGGCAGGGGAGGCGCTGGGTCGAGGAGACCGAGGAGGAGGGAGGCGGGATAGTAGTGGTACAAGGACGGACGACGAGACGATCTGCTTGAGAGGTGCAAAGCCGCGATGTAAAACGCGAAGATGTAGGCGAAGGCTCCGAGAGTGGCGGAGGGCGAACGGCCCTGCTGAGGTGTACACTTGAAGGCGGTCACCG